GCGGCTACGAGGCCCCTTGGAAGTTGGAATAAGAGGGCCCAATACCTGTAAACCCTAAACCCTAAACCCTAAACCCTAACCCTAAACCCTGAACCCTCCTAAGCCCCAAAGCCCGAACTAAACGCCGCCCACGCCCCAAGGCCATCTCGGACCCCGACCCTCTGGTCCGCGCCCACAGCAAGTTTTGGTCCTTCGACCGTTTTCCGGCCCGGTCTTCAGCAAGTGCTTCCTTTTTGGGTTTAGAAATCTGGGGTTTAGTAGGGTGTAGGGTTTAGGGCTCAAGGTTTAGGGTTTAGGAACTAGGGTTCAAGGGGTTTAGGGTCTCTCATTGTCGTGATTCCCTCTTATTGGAGCACAAAAAGCTCAAACGCAAAACTGTAAGCTAATGCAGTCGTAGCCGTTGGGATTCCGATCTTCGCCACTTATGTGCGCCTCAAATTTTCCGGGGCCTCTAAACTCAAGGCTAGAAGCCCCAAACCTTACGCGCTAAACCTTACACCCCAAGCCCTAAACCCGAAAGCCCTAAGCCCTAAAACCCAAAACCCTAAACACTAAACCCTAGACACTAAACCCTAAACCCTAAACCCTAAACCCTAAACCCTAAACCCTAAACCCTAAACCCCCAAAGCCCAGGACAGGGCGTTGTGATGGTGAAGCAAATCCCGCTCCTCCGCGATGGCCAAGATGCTGACCACGTCCTGAACCTAGGTTGGCCCTTGGGATAGGGTTTAGGCTTTAGGCTTTAGGGTTTAGGGTTTAGGGTCTTAGGTCTAGGGTTTAGGGATATTTTCCCTGTTTGGGTCCATAAGGGCACCCTATATACAAATCTTTTTCAAAGGGCTTAATTTTGGGTTCATAAGGGACCCTATATGCAACTATTTTTCTAAGGCTTATGCTTGGGTTAAGAAGGGACCCTTTATTTGCACAACTATTTTCAAAGGGCCTAAGTTTGAGTTTGTCACCCTAAACCCTAAACCCTAAACCCTAAACCCTAAACCCTAAGCCCTAAGCCCTAAGCCCTAAGCCCTAAACCCTAAACCCAGGAACGCCTACAACTTCACGCTCTGGTTCCGCATCCCTCAGCTGCCCACAGAGAGGCTGTCGCTTTTGCAGTGGAAGCAGCCAGAGGCGGCAGCTCGGCGCGCGTGGAGGGGTTTAGGGTTTAAGGTTTAGGGTTTAGAGTCTAGGGTTTAGGGTTTAAGGTTTAGGGGGTGTAGGGTTTAGGGGTTTAGGGGCTTAAGGGTTAATTGTTTGGGCACAGATTTTCACGTTTAGGGTTTAGGGGTGTATATTCAAGGGTTAGTTAAGGGCCTCAGGGAGCACACGGCGTCCATCAGTTCAGGAAGCCATCGGCGGCACCGTTGCCGGGGAGCTCTTCGTGTGGCCGGGCGGGCTGATAGCCCCCGCCGGCCTGGAAGAAGCCGTATCGCTTGAGGATGAGGTTGGGTTTAGGGTTTAGGGTTTAGGGTTTAGGGTTTAGGGTTTAGGGTTTAGGGTTTAGGGTTTAGGGTTTAGGGTTTAGGGTTTAGGGTTTAGGGTTTAGGGTTTAGGGTTCAGGGTTCAGGGTTTAGGGTTTAGGCTCAAAGTCCGGCTCGCCTTGTGGGGTGATCTGACTGCGGAAAAAAGAGCCCAGAAGAAGAACCTGAAAGCTAACCACCCCAAACCCCAAACCCCAAACCCCAAACCCCAAACCCCTAACCCCCAAACCCCAAACCCCAAACCCCAAACCCCAAACCCCAAACCCTAAACCCCAAACCCTAAACCTATTAACCCTAAACCCTAAACCCTAAACGCAGGTGCAGGTGGATGAAGCCCTGTCACGAGAGTATCTCCTCAAAGTGAAGGGGGAGGAGGACTCCGATCTCGGGGACATCCTGAAAACGCTGGGCCTGCGCACTTGTGACCTGCCCTTTCAGTCGTGGCAAGCTCCAAGACGCGAAGCCCTAAACCCTAAACCCTGAACCCTGAACCCTAAACCCTTAAGCCCTAAACCCTGAACCCTAGACCCTAGACCCTAGACCCTAAACCCTAAACCCTAAACCCTAAACCCTAAACCCTAAACCCTAAACCTAAACCCAGGTGATGCCACCTCGCCCGACTCCACGGAGCCGGCGGGCGGGTTTTCGCTGAAGCTCCGGCTTCAAGTGGATGCTTGCACCCGGAAGGTGGGGTTCGGGTTCAGGGTTTAGGGTTTGGGGTTTAGGGTTTAGGGTTTAGGGTTTAGGGTTCAGGGGTTTGGGGTTCAGCATCTCAAGTTCAAGCATTCACTGGTTAAGCTTGCGACTTCGTTTTGAACATCTGCCCAGCCACCCTTTTCACATTAGGAAAATTCAAGGGTCACCCACTCCATAAACCTTAGGCTCCATTCCTTGGCGTTCTAAAACCTTAGGCCTTAAAGCACCCCCGAGCCTTGCCCGATTTGGGCCTTGTCCACGAAGATTTTGGCCCTGCCCCACGACCTAGCCCAACAGTGACTTTGCCAAGAGACCAGTACTGGCTT